ACAACAGCCAACTGAGTCTAGAGTAGGTATCCAATGCATGACTGCAGAAGAGGACCTGCTATCATTGTAATATGCAAATGGGAGAATAGGAGGCTGAACCGACCAGGGAAACAGAGAAGGGCTGCCTGACAGTAACGCGGGCCCAGATGGCACTGGTGACCGTAAGATTATAGAGGCACCATCTGCAGGGTGTGTGGCTTTTCCAGCAATGCTCAACAGCTGGGCGATTGATGTAGAGAAAGTAAACAGTTGAGTTCAGCCAGGGCTGAGCTCTGCCCAGGAGGGTGCATTAAAATGACAAAGGGGCAAGGAGGTTGAGGATATTAGCAGGAGGAAGGTGAAGTGAGGAAGTTCAGTGGCCCAAGTAGGTGGAGAAGGAAATGTGCTGTTTGGAGGCTGGGCCTATTTCTGCCGAAGAGGCTTACACACGTCGCTTACTTTCTGTTGACCAGAGCACATTGTTATTGCTGCCTCCTGAAGGAACAGAGGCTGCCAGATGGGGCATGCTGACGAGCTGCAAGCTGATGGGCTCCCCCAGCTGACCTCCTCCTCAAAGGTGGTCCTGACTGGCCCCAGCTGGGTAATTCAGCAATTTGTGCCTAGAGCCACCATGACTGTCAGAGCATGCTCTGGGGATGTACGTACCCCTACGAAAGGATAAGGTCAATACCAACTGTGTATCAGGAGCGTCGGTTCACCCCCTAGGTCAGTCTGCTAATCTGTGTGTTATTTTAAAACTCTCTGTGGGCTAACCCTGTTTATTTGGATCTTATGTCTATGAATCTTCCAGGACTACAGATCTTCTCTTAGCTGCCATATTTCTAATAAAAACTATGGCATTTATTATTATTATTATTTGAGGAAAATTAGCCCTGAGCTAACATCTGCTACCAATTCTCCCCTTTTTGCTGAGGAAGACTGGCCCTGAGCTAACATCTGTGCCCATCTTCCTGTACTTTATATGTGGGATGCCTGCCACAGCATGGCTTGCCAAGTGGTACCATGTCTGCACCCGGGATCTGAACCAGCAAACCCCAGGACGCCAAAGCCAAACATGGGAACTTAACCACTGCGCCACTGGGCTGGCCCCAATGGCTATTTTTATAAATATTATTGTTGTTGTTATTATTATTATATACCTCTACTGATGTTATTAGCAGTCAACTTGGAACTCCAAATTACTATAATCATTTCAGTATCTTCAGGTATAAATAATAGGGAAAAAAACCCAGAAACTTTTTAGTAGTATACTAAAAATATCCCTTTTATAGAATGGTTAAAACTAAAAAGAAGTACCAAACATTGTCAGAGGCAAGGGGAACTCTCCTACCCTGCTGGTGAGAACATAAATTGGTACAATCAGTTTGGAAAGAGTTTGGTATTTTCTATTAGAGTTGAAGATCTGGATATTTATCATTTAGCAATTCCATCCCTGAGTATGTGCACAACAGAGATAGATAATGATGAGGATTTTAGGCTGGTTACTTTTAAAACTGCACATGAGAAGCAAGCTCCAAGGACTGGAATTTTGCTTGCCCTTTTGAGAGACATTTGCATTTGTGAAGGAAGGGGGGATGACCTTGTAGGGACCTGAAATTGGCCACCCCAGGATATGTCTCTTTGGCATCGGGATTATTTGGGGCTGATTGCTTTTGATAACAGGGACAGGGAAGGAGGCTCTGGGGAATGGAACTTGCCCTTGTTGGGACACATTTACATTTGTAAGGTAAATCTCTATTTGTAAAAGGTGCCTCCCTCTCTGTACCAGGAAGAAGAAGAGAGATGACCTTATCCCTAGAAACTCTTAATGGGGAAGGCAAGAACTTAAGTTGGTTGCTGTCTGGCTATCTCATGTAACTGATTTAGGGTGGTGGCTTCTAACCTTTCTAACCTTTACTTAATCTGATTTGATTCTTGTCTAAAAGTCATAGGATCACCCACTGACCAGACCCCACCTGCACTGATACCACTTTAACTTTTTTCCATGTTCTTTCCTTTGTCTTGTAAAGAGATGACCCACATACCCATGCCTTATAAAATTAGCCCTAACCCTCAACTCGGGGCAGCAGCAGAAGCTCTGACTGCCCGTGGGTCCTGTCCCCATGCACCAGCTCTGCCTGCCCATGGGTCCTGTCCCCATGCCAGCGGGGGCAGCAGAAGCGGCAGCAGCAGGAGCTCTAACTGCCCGTGGGTCCTGTCCCCACGCACCAGCTCTGACTGCCCATGGGTCCTGTCCCCATGCTATTCTATACTATTCTCTAAATAAAAGAGCACTACTGCCAGATCTTAAGAGTCTAAGAAATCTTTCTTTCGACTCCTCGGCTCACCGACCCCGCATCAGATAAGACCTACATAGCAGTATTATTCGTAATGGTCCAATACTGGAGGCAACTCAATTGTTCTTCAAACTTTTAATGTTCATTAAAATAGATGGATATACACACAATGGAATATTATACAGCAATGAAAATTACAAACTATAGCTATAGGCAACAACAAGATGAACTTCACGAACAGAATACTGAGTGGAAAAAGCCAACATAAAAGAATATATATTGTGTGATCTGTTTATTCAGAGTTCAAACCCAGGGAAAAGTGACTGGAGTAGATAGGAATGCAGACCTAAGTGGATAAAGTACAAAGAAAGGCAAGGAGGAAGGATCCTAACAGTGAAGACAGGTACCTTTAGGCAGGTTCACCCCTAACATTTGTGGGGAGAACCACTGCCTAAATATTTGAAAGCTGTAAGTTAACAAGCTATTAAATAAAAGAGGTTCCATTCTCCTACCTTGACAAATATATCTTCATGGCAACCTGGAAGGTCAGGTTGGACCTTAGAATTCTTGGATTGCTTAGAGCTTCTCACTGGAACATGTGACAAAAGAAGAGCCAGCCCCCAGACTCTTGGGCCATCCCCCTTCTCCTCCCACCCTCTGCTCCATCCCGAACTTTGAGGGCCTTCGTGCTCCTGTATATGGAGTCCCTATCCTAAAGTCTAACCTTCATCCACAGCCTCCTACTAATGTTTGCCCCTTGGCCACCCCTCAGGAAGATGGACCTGACGAATAGGCCCAGGAAGACCTGGAAGTAGGCCTAGAATCATGTGGACAGGGAGTCCCACTCTCCCGGTACTTGGTACATGGCCTAGAAAGGGAGATGTGGCTTCCAGGAGGACATAGTTTCTTGGCCTCACACACTTCTTTTCCCTTGGAAAGGGACATAGCCGGAGGAGAGCTAGAAGCCCAAAAGCATAAGGCCCAATACATATCCCCCTGCACGGGGCTCAGGGCAGTACTGCCTTCAAAGGAAAGAAAGGGGTTGCATCTGGAAGGGCACCTGGAAAACTTCTGGGGTCCTGGCAGGATGCTATGCCTTGACCTGGGTGGCAGTCACATTTATAACAATTTATTAAGCTCTACATTTGTTTAATACAGTTTTTGTATGTGTGTTACATTTCACAATAAAGAATTAATGAAATCTACATACATATATTATTCCTGGTACTGTAGTTTATGGGATCCGCGTAGACAAATCAGCTCGGAGGGGTTGCCTTTGAGCTCAGACACCTTGAGCAGTTAAAATGCCTCAAGGCGAGAATACCTAAAGGGGAAATGGACAGAGTGCTGGAAACACAGGAACTCTCACTGCTGGTTTCCTCCCCCATCTGGGGCCGAGATACTGGGCTGACCATGGATGGGTTCGGGCAGAGCAAATGAGTCATGGGCCCACGTCCTCTTGCCTAGCCACTGCAAGTGCCTCAGAGGAAAATTCCCTTTCTCCCTCTTAACCAAGACTATAAATACTGTATTTATCAAACCGAAATTATAGGAAGCTATTCCCATCCTAGCAGAAGTAAAAGGAGACCAACTCCCAATTATGCTGTGTTTGGAAAACAGTTCTAGGAATCCTCCCCCTCCCCAGAAGGGCAGCTGGATACGTTCACTACACGGTTTGCTGAGCTGCTACTATGAGCCAGACGCAATCCTTATTTTTCTGTTCCACATTTTAAACATCCATTTAGTTTTGATTTTTCATTCTTGACGGGAAAAACACTTTCCTTTTACAAAGATTCAGATTCCTGGTTCTCAGAAAGATTTCCATGTGCCCCATGTGGCTTAGATATCTGGGTTTTTCTAAGAATATGCATTTCTACTATGGTCCATCAAGATACACACACACACACACACACACACACACACACACACCCCATCCCAAAACTAAACTTTACGGCTGCGAGAAAATGAAAGGGACGTGAAAAACTGGCCAGTACTAACCAACCAAAAGCCCAGTCAATTTTTTTCCCGAAAAATCAAATTCTAGGCTTTGCATCTAAGCTGTTTAAAAGCCACATTGTCAAAGCACCAGTTTTCCTCATTTTCGGGAAACAAGAAAAGCATATGGTTCTAGTGACCTTCGCAAACTGCTGATGAGAGGTAGAATCAGACACGCTTGGTGGCTTCAAAACGGTAAAAGCAGCAACATCTTAGATTAAAGAGGGATCACGAGGCAGTGGGGGTGGAGGAGTGGAAAAACAGGTGAAATCAACAGGACTAAAGTTGCAGATTACAGACAGTGAAGGACCACGCACTTCTACCATTCTGCCCTGATAAGAAACTCCCGGCAAACAGCTATCCATCACTCAAGACTCCACCCAAAGTTTACCATCTCCCTCCTTTGTGCCCTCACCAGATCCACTTCATTTTCTACCAGAGTACCTGTAACATTTCATGGCACTCTATGTTTTGGTTTGCCCTGCAAGGCTGTGGGTTCCTTGAGGACAGGACCATATTTTATGCATTTTTGAAGTTCTAGCTGATGCATAGCTGGAGCTCCACAAATGCTTTCTTTGATTGCACACATGAATGAATGAATGAATGAATGATAGAATCCATTCATGAAACTATGGATTTGGCTTTTCCAACTGCTATTATGCAATCTTCAAGTGATGAAAAGTGTCTCAGTCTCTGCCAGAGTTTCACATTTTTTATTTCTCTTTTCAGGTTCAGGAAGCTGGAGACGTCACACACTGGCCTGAGAACATCGTACATTCTTTAAGTAGTTATGAAAAGGAAGAAACTGGTCAGCAGGCTAAAACACTGGAATTGTCCTTTTCAGGATCTACAGCTTCAACATTCCTTGGCTTAACAGCGAGAAGCACCTGGGAAAATGTGGGCAAGGGTGAGTAGTGATGGAAGAAACACACATTTCGTGCGATTCTGTTTCGTCCAGTTCCACTCAGATGAATTCCTTTGAAACAGTAATACAAATGGCATTCCATCCTCACCCAGAATTGAAACTAACATTTGAAATTAAAAGGTTGATTTTAGGCCACCAGATTTTGCTCAGTTTGGTGAATCTTTTTACTTGGCCACACTGATGCCCCCAGGAAATCCTCTTCCATTCAGAAATCTCTGGGGAAGGTCTTCTGGGAGATGGCTGGAATAGTCCACCTAGCGTGACTAGTGCCCAAGCAAGGGTAAAAGTTACACTCACTGAACTATTCCAAAGCTGATCACCTGGGTTATGGATTCCTCTCTGTCTGCCCACTACCTGTAAACCATTCCTCTTCCATTCAGCCATTCCACAAGAAAATCAGCTTAGCCTGGGATTCAGGTTGGAGTTAAAATGGTCAATTATCCTATCGAACCAAGGCTTCTTAAAAGTTTTATATAAATTCAGCAGAAGAAGTGATACGCAATTGCGGTTATTAATTGACGTCAAGGGAGCCAGGCAGCATGGCACAGGGGTTGCGTTGGGGGTCAGGCATATCTGGATTGATGTCCTTGCTCTTGGGCTTAGCAGTGGAGCGACCATGAGCCAGTTACTTGACCTTTTTGAATCTCTCTTTTTGAATTTATAAAATGGTGATATGAGGATTATCTTGAAGATGAAATGAGAAAATGCACTTAAAGTAACATGTGCTCAAAAGAAAAATGGTTAATTCCCTTATGCATTGAGATCAATAATCTGTTGTCTGTATCACATGGAAAACTAAGCATCAACACAAATAAGAAAGCGCTGGGCAGACACGTCAATCCAAATAAGGCTCTGTTTCATTTGCAGGAGAAGGGCTGTAAGTTAAGTAAAATGAATGTTTTCTTTGAACATTTTCATGGTAACAAAAGGATTTCCATGGAAGTCTTTAAAAACCAGTTAGATTGTCATATCATTGTAATGTTTTAAAGTAAAGTAATGACCTCTTAAAAATCCCTTCTGGTCCTAGGATTCTATGACAAAAACCTGTCATAGTACCGGACACTTCAGAGGCGTCAACCAAACCAAGTTATGAATTCAAACCAGAGCATGTTACATTTATTTGAGATTCCTCAAGTCATTCAACATGAATATTAATTTCTTAATGAAAAGTGAAACAAAAATCATCTCTTTTTATTTTCTTAAACCTACTCAGCCAGTTTTACTAAATTGAGACAAAACAAAGCAAAAAAACACACAAAACATAGCATTCTCTAAAGCAAGCCAGTACTTCATTCCATTTGAGTCTCTGCAGTGAACATGTGCACAATGAACATGTTCAAATACATGTTGATTCTCAACTTTGATCTTCTATACCTGAAAACTAGACAATTCTACCACCTGAAATCTTCAATTTGCTTTAGAATTATCTATGTTCAGAGTCCAAGGGTCCTTTGAGATCATTAATTCCATTACTTCTAGGTGTTTTTTTTCTCATCGCTGAACTTTATTTCAATATTCCATACACACACACACTTACACACACACACATACTTGCATGTAACTTCATACTAGACTAAGTAGAATGTAAATACTTGTCAATTATTAGTATCACCTAATGAAAAGGAGCGCTTATTCCTTGTGGTCGATGCTTCCTAAGAACACATTTCTGCTGCTCTTTTGGGAACGGTGTGCTGGTTACAAATAGGGACCTGAAGCCTTACTGCCTGACTGGAATCCCAACTCTGCCTCTAACCAGTCATAGGACCTTGAACAAGTTATTTCACCTCTCTGTGCCTCAGTTTCTTCATCTATAAAACGAGGATGAGAATAGTACCTATCTGGAGGGGTTGTTATGAATGTTAAGTATGTAAATTGCTTAGAATTGTGCTTGGGGCATACTAAGCCCTCAATAGACGCTTCCAATGAAACCGGAAGTTCTACAGCACATAGGAAGTGAAGTCTATGCAGCTAAAAGAAACTACTGAAGGCGGAAGATGGGAGAAGCAGATGTGAGGAGAGGCCTTGTGAGAGAATGGGCCATTAGTAACCTGGCTCAGGGTAGGCCTGGTGGTTCTCCTGAACTCCCTTATGCTCTGAGTTTCTGGTTCCAGGAGCAACAATGAAGATACCACAAGGGCATGGCCAGAAAAATCCTTTAGGGGAAACCTGGGCCAAACTCCTGAATACTCTTAAAAGTAAGTCCCTTACAAAAAATTCAGCAAACAACAGCAAGTCCTGAGGTGACTGCAAATATCCAGGTGAGGAGAAGGTGGAGAGCCCACACGCACACCTGGAAGGGCATCTGCAGGCTGCCGGGAGGCCGGCACCGCGTGACCTTCTTGTGCCTTTCAGTGAGAATCAGCGGTGCGCTGGAGGCGGCCAGTCCCAGCACCCCCGAAGCCCACTGTGCTCCTGCATCCCAGTGACTCCACCCACGGAGCTTGATAATGGCCAAAGCGGGGGTATTTACACCACAGAAATCGGCAAAGACCACAAATCAGGGCTGTTTGGCTTTGTTTTCTTTTCAGAGAGCTGATACTTAAACACGCCCCAGTGCACTGCTGGGGATGATAAAGGGGCTGGCTCAGAAAAATGGAGAACCTGCAAGAAAGATCTTTTTTTTTTTTAAGAATTTTTTTATTTTTTTCCTTTTTCTCCCCAAAGCCCCCCAGTACATAGCTGTATATTCTTAGCTGTGGGTCCTTCTAGTTGTGGCATGTGGGATGCCGCCCCAGCATGGCTTGATGAGCGGTGCCATGTCCGTGCCTAGGATTCGAACCAATGAAACACTGGGCTGCCTGCAGCGGAGCGCACGAACTCAACCACTCGGCCACGGGGCCAGCCCCACCAGACAACTATTAAGTCACAGAGGGCCCAAAAGTGCTGACTGAGAGAACTTGAAAATGTTGTCCTTTTCTCCCATTAAATACAAGTTCAATGCAGGTCCACAATAGTGGTCAGGCTGTATATTTGCCCCTGCCACAGGTTTGTGACACGTGCCCTGGCAAGGGAGATGCAAAGAAGAGGAGTAATCCACACACTCCCTTTGCACCCCTTTAAAAATAGGATTATTCTGACTCATTTTAGGGAATATGAATACTCGATCTACTGAGAGTCATTATCTTGCCTCATTATACCTCAAGGGCAATTGAACGGGTTCAAATTTTGAGGTTGTTCCTTAAGCGTAAAGATGAAAGAATAAGGAGTAAAGTGAAGAAGTGGCCATAGATCTGCCTCTATTAGTCAGCTGGGGCTGCCATAACAGAGTACCAGAATCTGGACGGCTCAGACAGCAGAAACTTATTTCCTCACAGTTCTGGAGGCTGGAAGTCCCAGATGAGGGTGTCGGCAGGGTTGGTTTCTTCTGAGGCTTCTCTCCTCGGCTTGTAGACGGCCGTCTTCTCCCTGTGTCCTCACGTGGTCATGCCTCCATGTGTGTCTGTGTCCTAATACCCTCTTCACATAAAGACCCCGGTCCTATTGGATTAGGGCCCACCCCAATGACCTCATTTAACCTTAATCACCTCTTTAAAGACGTTATCTCCAAATACAGTCATATTCTAAGATACTGGGAGTTAGGACTTCAATATATGAATTTGGAGGGGAACACAATTCATTCCATAACACTGCCTAAACATAAGCATAATTTACCTACAAGGAAAATTTCATTTAATAACATCACAGGTTGAGTTTCAGAGAAGCAAATTCTGGAGAGATGGAGACTGGCATGCAGTACGTTTATGGGGAGCACACTCAGGAGCACCCACCAGTGGCAAAGGAAGCAGGACTAGGCAGAGGGAGAGATGGACTGACTGCACTGCAATCGCAATAAAGAGCCCAGCTAATCGCACGGGCTCTCTGAAGCTGGGTGGTCCTTCTGAGTTGTCTGGAACTGAAGCAAGGAGGATGAGCCTTGATCCCCCTGCCTGGACCAGTCATAGGCTGTGGGCTGCACTGCGGAGGATGCACAACGTGCACGAAGAGGCTCTCTTCAGCTGAGGACAATCTCAGGAGGAGACTCAGTGGAGAGCTGCCAGTCACCAGGTCTCCAGGAGCCAACACAGTGATTGCTGAGTCTCAGGTGGGGTCTCTGGTCAGTGCAATGCCATGTCCACAACCATACAGTGAACAGAAGTCCCCCAAGTATTTGGAAGGACTTACCATTATCTTCTTAAGAAATTTCTTATAATGTCTCTCAGTAGATTAAAGAGGGACCTATTTGAACTCTAAAACATTTGACCCAAAGCTAGGCACATAGAAAATGCCCAGCAGGATGGTCAGTGAGTGTCTCTTAGTGGGAAAAATATGCTCTTTGAAGCCAAAGAGAGCTAGGTTCAAGTCTCTGCCCCGCTATTTACTAATATTTCTTCCCTTCTCTGAACCTCCAATTTCTCCTCGGCAAAATGAGGATAATAATACCAACTTTGGTGGAATGTTGCAAGATTTAAAATATACATATAGTTAAAGTGTCTAGCACCATGCTTGACACAAAAAAGGCATCCCAAAAGCCTTGGTTTCAGTTAGTCCCCTTCCTTTTCTTTTAGCAAATAGTTCATTGGTAGTAACCAATTGCAAACCAGAAGTAGAGGTTTGACCTCCTAACTTGAAGGAGAATGTTTCTCAAATTCTGGTGTGATCAGAATCACCTGTAAAGATTGTTAAAATACAGATTCTTGGACTCCATTCACAGTAAATCTCCTTCAGGGGATCTAGAGTGAAGACCAAGAATGCATAATTTTAGTAAGCTCCATAGAGGCTTCTGATCCTCAGAAAATCTTGAGGCCCCTTGCTCGAGGCTGTGGAGGCCATCTCAGTAAGAATGCAAGTCCAGTGCTGAGAAGATGCCAGAGGACATTTACACTGCCCTACATCGTTGGTTCTGTCGACGTGGATATACACATCATGTCACAAAGACTTCCCTCCCTTCGTAAATACTGTGTATTCCAAAACTAAAATGTGCATAAATTATGTCAGTTATAGAA